CTTCTGCCCGAAAAGCAAGTTCTGGTATTGCAGCAAGTGCTCGTGAACTGTTTAAAAACTCTGGTGTATGAGTTCTCTGTATAAAAGCTGTAAAAATTTGTTTCTGTATGTAAATGCTCATTTAATTTGACAACTTTCTGAACAATTAGAGGTCATTTTTTTAATGCTTATATTCATTCAATCAATTCATATATCTTAAACAACTGCTGGTATTTTTCTTGTTTTTTATTAGCTTGTTTTTTTTTCTTCGTTATTTCTATTTTTATAACATGAAAATGAGATAATAAACGTTTTTCTTCTTTTTTCATTTTTTTATTGTCCTTGTTAACTTTCTAGAGTGTTTGAAAGATTGCATTATTGTCTCCTTTTCCAAGTTACGACATAATATTTTTTCTGTCAATATATATTATGTTCAATAATAATAAGCTAACGTTTAGGTCGTTTTTTTCTTGCTCAAACTCAACTTAAACGCCATAAAAACGCTATGAGTAGAAATTACACGTCAATAGACTTTTTTATTTTTAAATGTGAACGTAAGACATAGAAACTCATTTTTTTTCTTATTGATTTTTAAAAAAAAAATATAGAGAAAATAATTGTTCACTTTACACTTTCATGTTGATACATATTATATTTATGTGTTATGTACAAAAGTATTTCTGTATGACGTAAATACATTGTTCATTGAAATAATGCTTATATGAACTCTTTTCCGCTTCTCACTTTGTAAAAACACTCTCAGAGTTATTCTACTTTGAAATTATCAAAAATTTTCCGCTTTCTCACTTTGTAAAAACACTCTCAGAGTTATTCTACTTTGAAATTATCAAAAAAAGGACGATTTCTTTGCTTGTAATATAAGATGTAATAGAAGTGATAAGCATTATTTCGTTTTATTTTCTTGTATATATATGCTATAAAATTTAATATTGTTTTGTTTACAAAAAAAATATAAAAGAGGCTTTATAAAAGATGCTTATTTGCACACAAAAGATGCGAAGTAGCACACCAAAAAAATGTAAATAACAAATTGTTTTATAACATGCCCACCAAAAAAATGAAATAATTAAAAAAAGATGCATAAAGCACACAAAAAAAATTTTTGGGCCATGGTATTGAGCGCCTCCCGTGGTGTGGCCTGGATGCAGTTGAATAACTTATTAAAACAAAAAAAATTATTATGAAAAATATGTAAAAGAATTCAATTGATGTCATTCAACTGCAACTGAACGCTCTTTTTCGTCATCTGGAGATGACAACGATCAATACTCGTACTTTATTTAGTCATGCCTAACACGGCGATTCAACTCGAAAAAGTAAACATACGATGGCAAATGCGGTTTCTTGGTTAAAATCCTCGTTTAAAGACATGAAATAAACATAAGTATGTTCGACTATCATATAATTTTAAAAAGTGCCGTACGGCTAGACAATACTGTGAGTCCTGGCTAGCCGTACGTGACTCACGTACGGCTAGAACTTTTGGCTAGCCGTACGGGCCCGTACGGCTAGCCACTGTTGTATTTCCTTAAATCATAGCCTAAAGAAGGGAAAACAGGCCGGGAGCTTACCAAAGCTTGATCTCGATGTTGCCACTTCGCCAGCCAACGCAGAACTCAATTCACTCAATCCTAGAACTATCCGGGTACTTTTTCAGTCCCGCGAAAACCGTCGCGCATGCGCATGCAGTCCGGTAGGTCTAGGACCACTAAATCATTTCCTGCATTCACAACACTCTCCCCCCAACTTTATGAATGAAGGCTTCGGTCTTGGGAGTAATGCTGTGAATGCATCAGTAAAGAACTAGAAGCTCGTTTACTTCCTTAATTGTGAATTAATATCACATCGCGGCTTTAACTTACCCTAAATAAGTAGGCTGTAGAGGAAGGACTAGAAGTCCTTTTGGTACACTGGCGTTGCTGTAAAGATTCTCAAAGGCTAGAAGCCACCTGGAACTTCATTTTTCACAACCACCAGTCCGGATTCAGCATGGTCTAGACAACCGATGCTATCCGTACTCGTTTCAGTACAATCTAGAAGATCTGTACTGTTCTCTTCATCATAGCACTGCCTTTTTACTGAAGTTATTTATTTGAAATTCTGGGCATCTCTTGTTCTGCATGATGTACTCAAGTCAGATTCATCATGAACCTGGATCCTAATACTTGCTACATCTTCAAGACTTGACCCGCACAGTTCTGCAGTTGCCCCCATATGAACGTTCGCTGAATTGGATGTCGTTATACCCTGCTGAGCCAATCTTACTGAGTCGTCGACATCATCAATAAATTTGGCCCATTGCTCGTCAGCCCTAATGCAGTAAGGACATCCACCACATGGCAAATCTGCAAGCTTAATGCCAGCTATATACGATTTACACGGTGTCAAAGTTTCCGGAATTCTTGACAGCGCGTCCGCATTGCCGTGTTTCGATCCAGCTCGATGTTTAACAATCATGTTGTACTGTGAAAGTTCCTCTATCCATCGAGCCAGCTGACCCTGTGGTTCCTTAAATCTTAATAACCAGGTCAAACTGGAGTGATCAGTTCTCACAGTGAAGACTTTTCCTAAAAGGTAATGCCTAAACTGCCTCGTGAACCTCACAATGCCCAAAAGTTCTTTTCTGGTGGTGCAATAGTTCCTTTGTTCTGGAGTCAATGAAAAGCTGCTATAAGCAATGACTTTCTCTTCTCCATCTTGAACCTGAAGTAATTCTGCACCTATAGCCGAATCCGAAGCATCCGAATCTAATATAAAAGAATCTTCTTGATTTGGTAAAGCTAAAACTGGTGGTGATGTTAAAGCTACCTTTAAAGTATTGAATGCTTCTTGTTCTTTATCGCCCCAATGAAATTCATTCTTTCCTGTTAGTTTGTATAACGGCAGTGCTATATCCGCAAAGTTCTTGACAAATGTACGATGGTAATTTGCTAAGCCTAAAAACCTTTCGACATCTTTGGATGACTTTGGACATGGCCAGTTGGCTACTGTTTCTATATCTCGAGAAGTCATGGCCATTTTATTCCCACTAACTGTTCTTCCAAGGAATTCTACTTCTTTTTGGAAGAAAACACATTTTCTTGGCTTTAGCTTCAAACCATGTGTGCGGAATCTTTCTAGGGCTTCGGCTATATTTCCCAGATGGTCCTCAAAATTCCTTCCCAGCACCAATATATCGTCTAAGAATGCCAGTACCGTTTTCCAAGTTAATCCACGCAATATCAGATTCATTACTCTGGAAAATGTGGCTGGTGCATTGGTCAGACCAAACCCCATTCTAACATGCTCAAACAAACCGTATTTTGTTAGAAACGCTGTTTTCTTTCGGTCTTCTTCACTTATCTTGACTTGCCAATACGCTGAGTTTGCATCTAATTTAGAAAACCAGATGCTTCCCGACAATGTATCTAAGCAATCTTCGACCAATGGTAATGGGAAAGTATCTTTAACCGTGACATCATTAAGGGCTCTGTAATCTATACACCATCTTACAGATCCGTCACGCTTTCTGATCAGAACTGGAGAGGACGCCCATTCTGATACAGACTCCTGTATGACACCGGCATCCACCATTTTCTTCAGATGCTCTTCTTCCTCCCCAACAAAACAAGCTGGTGTGCGCCTCATGCGTTGTTTTATGGGTTTTGCATCTCCGGTGTCTATGGTATGCTCTATTGTAGTAAAGCTTCCCAAATCGAAATCACTCTTAGCGAAAACATCTTCATAATCGCTAAGGAGTTTAGCTAACTTCTTACTTTGCCCTTGATTAAGATGTTCAGTAGAAGCTTGATACAACTTTAGCAGATGATCTGGAACTACTTCTGTTGGAGTCTCTAATGATTCACACAACTGTTCGGCGACTGTTCTAACTCTAAATCTCGTAGAACTAGAAATCCTTCGAGATTTAGACGATGTTGTTTTAGAATGACTAGAAGTCACTTCATTTTCTTTAGGCAGAGATGTAGCTATTTCGCTTTGCTCATCTAGGATATGTTCTACTTCATATGCATTTGCAATCACTTTACCCTTCTTGAATGTCTTGTAAGAGTCAGTTGGATTGACTAAACAAACAATTGGCTCCGTATCTGAAGACATCAATGTCCTTGGCATCAATATACCAACTGTATTCAACTTTTCATCTGGTTCTATAAAATAGTCACTCAGATGTGTGTTGAGACTGCATGACATACGAACAACTGAATTTGGCGGAACCACAGTACGTTTTGCCACTGTAACTCTTGCAATAGTCAGCTTTCCCTCTCTAAAGCTTGTATTCATGGGAATCTGCTCACCATTCACAATTAAAGTGTCTGAATGCATATCCATCATAACTCCTAAATGATGCATTATATCATGTCCAAGCAGCATTTCATCACTAATAGGTGCAACATAAACTCTTTCATGAAATACTTGAGATCCAAGTTGCAATCTTAATGGTTTAGTGATAAAGCCTTTTAGTACTGCTTCTTGATCTGCCATTTGCATAACTACATCTTTTACTTTTGCAGGCTTTTTGCTCAAGGTAGCGAAGACTTTTGAAGAGAGTATGGTAATTTCAGCACCAGAGTCAATTCTTGCTTTGACTTCTTGATCACCAACTGTCAGTAACACAAAAGAAGAACCAGCTCGCACTTGATGAACGCTGACAATTCCGTCATTCTGTGTTTCTTGGATACCTAAATTTAATTTGACTGTATTACCATCTTTCAAAATATCTTCACTTTCATTAACATGACTAGAAGTCATGCCATCTGTATGGTCTTTTTCATCAGATTTAATTGTTGCAGTAACTATAGGGTGTTTAGATGATCTTTGATGACTTTGACTAGAAGTCTTGTCACCTTTACGAAGGCTAATAACATCTTCGTGATCTGTAACTGGTTGTTCTTCACAGATGACATCAGCTTCCGGACTAGAAGTCGCAGAATCTTTACCATTTTGACCAGTTACTTCTGCGGGCTTGAACGGTTGGCCATTCCATTCAGCCCTTTCTTGTTTAAATCACGATTTGCTGGATTTCGTTGTTGTTTCCGTAGTGTTAGATAGCCCCTTTTTCTTCAACCATTCTTTAAATCCCGGACAGTCTTTCTTAATGTGGCCCCTTTGTTTGCAAAAGAAACATGATAGCCCTCTTCCTGTCCTAGATTCAGTTTCTTTATTGGTTGTAGTCAATTGCTGAATTTTACTGCTAAGCTGTTCCATAGCTTTGTTCAGCAATTGTTCCACCCTGGCTTCAGCTGATGTATTTACTGCATTAATTGACACATCATCTTTAGATCTTCTGGAATGCTTTTTGCCATCAACTGCCTCAGAGATATACTGGTGGTGCTTCACAGCGTTAAGTGCAGCCTGTATACTCCTAGGATGTTCGAAACATGCATGCTTTCCTGCTTCTCTATCAATACATCCTTGGCAGAACTTCGAAATTGCCTCTCGCATTCTGTATTCTTCGGGTAGATCCTTAAATGCATATGTCGAAAGTGTCAGCACTCGATCTGCCCAATCATCTAAAGATTCATCTGATGCTTGTCTAGCCTGCTGGAACTTAACACGTGACGTCTCGGTAAGTTCCTGGTCGCCGAATCTGGTCTCTAATTTCTTCATCATTTGCTTATATGAATAGCAATGCCCTGCTTTATTTGTTATCGTGAAGAAATCTAACGCTTTACCTTGAAGACTCCAAGTAAGGTAATCTTTACTTTCACTGTCAGTCCAGTTCGAAACAGCTCGATAACTTTCAAATTGTTCTTTAAAAGATAACCAGCTTGTCTTCCCATCATACCGCAAAATACTTGGAAGTTCCTTCGGGTTACCCCTCTTTTCTAACTTGCTTCGATCAGAATAACTCGAAGAGCGACTTCTGTCATGTCGTCTAGATGGCTTGCAATACTTATCATGGGACCCGTACTTATGACGTCTTGACCCTGAATGACCATAGCCTCTTGATCGAGATCTCGAGCTACTGCTGCTGCTTGAAGATTTATTCCTATATCTGTATGATCTTGACCTTGAAAAACTCGGACTTCTGGACATTGATCTTTGGTGTCTAGAAGACGACCGTGATCTGCGACTGTACTTATCATCTCTCGACAAACGGTTTCTAGAAGAAGACCGATTGCTATAACCAATCTTGTCCCGATTCTTTCTACCATCACTACTGTATCTGGACTGAACATCTCTTCTACCGATTGATCTGCTTCTACTATTATCGCTACTTTCACTTGACATTTCTGATCTGGTATGGTAACTTCGATGGTCTCTTCTTGAACTTTTCTTCTGGCATTCATATCTATCTAAATGTCTAGAAGACCCTTTAGTTGACCTCGACTGTTGTTGTGTATCTCCATATACATAAGTAGCAGATGTATATTCTTTCTTAGGAGATATACATTTAGGGTTGCCATACCTTGTGTCCAATTTAGTGTTGTATGACCTGGATGCACTGTTACTGAAATATTTAGGCTTGACATCATCTACCGTACTTGTAAACCTTGTTCTAGAAGAACCAAGTATACCTGTATTGCAAGGATCCATTTGATAGTGCATATAACCTGTACTATAAGTACAAGGTGTATCTATTGCAATAGAATCTTCATCCGTATCACTTGCATTTGCTTCTGGTAATGCAGATATCAAGTCTATTAAATCTCTTCTAGTCATACCCTGACTTAAGGAAAGAAGTTGAGTCAAAACATCTTCAATGTGTGGCGTATCTTGTGGTGCCTCCATCTCTGGTATTGTTAAAGATGTAGGGGCTGACATAATTGGTGTTGCACCGGTTGCACTCACTGTAGTGTATGTGCTACTAGCTGCAACCGTCACAGCAGTGGTTATTTTGGTAACCGGAACTGTAATTACCTTGGTTTTCACGCTGCTGGTTGTAGTTGATGTAGTCATTACCTTCGAAACTGCTTTAGTAACTGGCGTTCGCAAGGTAAATCCAGCTGCAAGTCTAGATCCTTTAGTTACAGTAGGCGTACTTGTACTACTTACTGTAATTGTTGTTGTAGCACTGCTACCAACATGAATTGGCTTGCAAACTACTGCAACAGGCGTGGTACTTGTGGTAAATGTCACAGCAACACTTCCACTTCCCCCCCCACTTGAAGATATTGTACTCGGAGTTGATACCGGTGTTGAAAAATCAATGTATTTCAACATATCTGGGTTAAGATGACCTGCCATTATGGTGATGAAATCATCTTTCGTCAACTTGCCATTCATTTGTCGAAACTGGACTATACTTGTTGCCCTTTTCGCACCAATAGCTGGCAATTTCATCAACTCCTCTTTAGTCATTGTGTTTACATTAAATGTTGACATGATGGTAACTTAAGTCAGTCAATGTATTGCGGACACAATGTAATCACAAATTTTCAATGTATAGAATACAATTGAAAATTGATCCAAGCTTATTTATTCGAGTATAGAATACACCGAATATATATGTAAAAGTAGCTTTTAAAAAATAAATTCCACTAATTTACTTATTCGAGTATAGAATACACCGAATATTAATTAAAAAGTTACTTTAAAAAATAGTTAATCGACTTATATGAGACAGGTTCTTTAAATCAAATGTATTTACTGAATACTTGAGACAGCTCCTTTAAATAATATAGACTTTACTTTGACACAGCTGCTTTAATTTATTTTACTTCACATTCAAGAAATAAACCAAAAATTTATGTGAAATTCTGTAAACTATCTCAGAACAAATGTACAATAAATTAATTTTTCGCAATTATTTCTGATATAGAATACAAGAAATAATTTATTTGGTGATCCTGGTACACTTGTAAACAACTGAAATAAAATATTCAAGGTAGATAACTTGTATACCTTTCACACTGTCTTTATGCTGTCACTGTCTCTAATATCTTCAAAGTCGTTTCTGAAAAGGGCTAAAGTAAATAAAAAGACAATACTGGGCGTGCTTTACTATGAATTTAGAGTGGAATTATTTATTTATGAAAAGCATACCATTCTGCAGTTTCCCAAACTTTATGTTGACCAAGTATTTTTTAAATAAAAGCTAGAAGCCACAAAATCAAAAAATACCAGTACATCAACCCTTTAGGCTATCGTCGAGTGGTTATTTCACAATGCCAACTGAATGTCAAAGTCAATTTTCCAATTTATGCAACGGTCCAGAATGTCGCGAAAATTGACTACAAATGAACGACGTTTATGACATGCAAAAGTCACTGCCCTGCTATCCAGTTTTAATCCTCGTCGCCAATGTTGTATTTCCTTAAATCATAGCCTAAAGAAGGGAAAACAGGCCGGGAGCTTACCAAAGCTTGATCTCGATGTTGCCACTTCGCCAGCCAACGCAGAACTCAATTCACTCAATCCTAGAACTATCCGGGTACTTTTTCAGTCCCGCGAAAACCGTCGCGCATGCGCATGCAGTCCGGTAGGTCTAGGACCACTAAATCATTTCCTGCATTCACAACACCACTTCCAAGAAAATATGAGCCCAAAAGGTCTAAACCTGTATGTTAGTTCAAGTTAAATAAAATAAAATGATATAAGACGCGAAATTCAAAGTGGAAGACAATAAAATGTAAACGAACAATTAACTGATTAACCTTATCTGACGGGTGTAGTTTATGTTTACAAACATCACAATCGTTACACATACTGAACCATACAGTAAACATAGTAAACCGAACCACTGATCTAATTATGTCTAACTTCGTTTGACAATTGATTGACATCGTTTCCACAAATTGTACAGAACATAAAGAACTTCTTACCTTTCCGATTGCTGTCTAAGCGGCTAAAGCTTCAAGGATTTGAAGTAAACACACAAATAATCTGTCAAACATCGGACCATTTTACGTCATACATGTATACTCGGAGGGTTCTCAAATATTTCCTTTATTTACCACAATGCAATTTTGTATACCAGTCTTAATAATTTTATCACAGTTGAAAATTATTACAGTGACACCGTTTCGCAACTGCCCCGAACTCTGTATACTCATATTATATCCAATCAAACGAGGCCAGGTAAAATTGGGGTTGTCGTACCTGTTTTATTTTGATTGGTTATTTTAGTGAGCGTGGTCGAAACGGATTGGCTTATTTTAACAGTACTGGGAATTCCCTCTGTAGATCTCTAGCTGCCGGGTGGAAGTGCTGGCAATAATATTATAAGAATTTCCATCAAATTCTAGCCAACTCGTACAGGAGTTGCAAGGAAAATGAAGAAGACATTATTAATAATAGGAATACTAGGATTTATCTGTGTTTCTGGTAAGTATGCAGAAAGATGTGACATAGTTTGTATAACGCTAAACGTTACCGGTTTCTTTTGGTTGAGTTTTCATACTTTTCTTCTTATTTGGTAAGACTTTCCATTAGTGTCAACATGTTTCAAGTATTGTAATATTTCGTCTGTCTTCCACTGAATATTTTTTAGGTTAACTGTGAACTAACATTTTGCATTCCTTTTAAAAATCAGAACCGTATTAAAGGATAAAATTTTAAAAATAAGTGTTGTAGGATTGGTCCTGTAAAATTGATGTGGACAGTGTCAAAAATATGATGATTGTTCACTTTAAGTACATAAATGTAGATGTATTTTATTCTTTTATCATGTCACTGGTTTTCAACATAATTTTGCTTTGTGTGAAAATTCATACCTCATTAATTTGGTCTTCAAACACATGAATGGACCAAGAGGGGCGTGGGCTAGGAGGTCCTCTGGATCGAATAGAACCCTGTATTTATCACAGGCCATATTTTAATTATACTGTAATATTCTACAAATATGGTATGAACCTACTATCTATACTCGGAGTCTCCTAGTTTAGACTTAGGAGAGGGCTGTGTCTAATCTAGGATGTCTCCTTGGGCTATCCAAGGGGAGGGCGGTGTCTAATCTAGGATATATCCATGGGCTATCCAAGATTACACCCCAGGTCAAAATCAGAAGTTTAAGTAATTTTTGTTAAACATAAAATCCTTTAATTATCAATATTGACAGGGGTTTTGTTATTATGGAAGTAAGCCACATTGAATTTATCAGAGCACAGTTCGGTAACAAGACAACTCATCCCTCAAGACAGTTCACCCCCCAAAATCAGTAAGACAACTCACTTCTCATAAATGTCACTTCAACAAAGAATTGTCTGGGGGGTGAGTTGTCTGTAAGCCCACAGTTCAGCCACAGCATGGTTCCCGGGCAGACTGTTAAGCAGTTTACCTGTAGTGCAATACTAATTCAGTAATTGCCTTCACTTTCACAAGGAACAAATAACTTCAGTACTTACCAGAGCAGAGGTTCATTGCAAATAATCATAGAAACGATTCCATGATCAGTCACAACGACAGTGGAAAGTGGCCTTCACTGTCCGGGAATGGAACCCGGCTTGCCTAATTCAGAGTATGTCTCCCTGTTACTAGTGAGATTCTGTGTTGCCTATATATGTAGATCATACAATTACAACTACTTACACCATACAAAATTCTTGTGTTAACAGTTAATACTGATTATGACGCCTAGAAAATGAGCAGTATCCCCACAATGCATGTTTCCGTCTTCTATAGCAGGCATTCTCCTCCAGGAAAATTCTTTACATTCATGTAGTATTGTCCTGACGATTGAATTAACATAAGTTTTTTGTTCCCCTTTGCAAAAATACTATTATTTTCTCACAAATTAAAGAAAAATGTCCATTTCCCAACCTATGAAAATAGCCCCTTTTTTACTGCAGTGCACAGTGTTAGAAATTCGGATTTGAAACCACTAGGCTGGTCGGACTACCAGATTGGAATATTCAATAGCCCAAAAGACATTTCACTAGCACGATTCAAACAGTTGTATATATTGCCTCTGAAAATACAGTAGTCTGGCCGGGCTTGTTACTTTGAAAAGTTGGTAGCCCGAGGAGAATTTTAGTAGTCAGGGGCTATAGGACTAGTGCTAATTTCGAACACTGAGTGCATTGAGTTGGAATTGCAGTGAAATCTTGAAATTTAAAGTAGCCACTTTTTATTTCCTGGCTTTAAATCCCGAACACTCCTCAAGGTTTGTGAGACATTTCAACAAAGGACTAGTGCATAATTGAAACATTCCTCTTTGGTCTGTTACAAATTGGTAAAAAAAAGTGAGACTTGCTGAGTTGTTACATTAATCTCTTTCATTTGTATTATATTTTATAATATGTTAAAATAATAAATGTTAATGTATCACCTTTAATGCTTTATATAGATAAAACACGTTCATTTTAAAGACTGTTATATAAACTTCAACTTGAAACAGTGAGACACAATATTAATAACTATGCTGATTGCATAACTACTACAGGTAACACTTTGCTAGGTAATTACACGCTGTGTAACCTGGTATATGATATAAACATCTAGCAAGAGATATTCCTACATTGTTGTTACTGAGGATAAAATTTCCATCTCAGTTAATCATTCTGAAGAATCTGATGTAGATAATAACAAATTTCTCTGAATTTTATTAAAGAGAGGAATTTGATAGCTACAGATTATGTTCTATATTACTGTTCTTTTTTCTATAAAACCTCAGCTGCTGAAATATTAGACATGCTTGTTTGCCTTTTATTAAAGTGATATTACGCCCATCCATGTGTATTTGTTGAAAGTACAAGTTAATGTCAAAATAAGTTGACATTTTGCCATATTCGTTTCTAATTTCTTATTCTTCTTTGAAAATTGCTATGTCTTCAGAATTTATTAAGTATTAAATACATTTCTCAGGATAACTATATATTCCATTTAAATGCAAACACTTTTACAAAGAACAATTTGCCATTGTAAGATACTTTGTATTAAGTTATACGCCTAGCAAAAACATTGAATCTTAGTCTTTGTGTTGGACAGTTAGAAATTGCATGTGAAATAAGTAACACTATCATATGAAACACTTTAACAGTAATAAATTGTTACAAAAAGAATTCTACTTCAATTCAATTGGGCAAGAAATAACTTCATTTGTGAAGTTTAACAAAGATTTATGCAAATAATAATACGTATATTAGTATTTTGATGCCATGCAGGCATGATGCCCTTGTAAAAAGATGATAGTTAGGAATATAGGTAGTAATTATTGGCACCTGTTAACACAAAAGCTGTCTTGTTGTGTAATTGCTAATGAATTGCAGTCAAGCAGGTTTGTGATGGCGTGTAACATGTATCATATAAATTATACTAATATTATATAAAGTAGTAAGTACTAAAAAAATAGTAGATTAAGTAATGGGTATTATAGTATCACATCAGGCTGCTTTAAACTTTCAATTACTCATTAAAAAATAAATTATGTCACAAGGAATGGTCTATTTTTCCTGAGTACCTTTATTTTCATGCAAGAAACAAAGTTGTGTATTTAATGACGTATATTCTTAGATGAGATTACCTACAAAAGTATATACTGCATTACTAGATTTTTTGTAAATTAACACATAAAAGAAAAGAATTTAGCTAACGTCATAATAACAGACTTTACACGTTTGATGATACTGATATTACTCTTGTTTATAATGTATAAACTCACATAGAAGTAGATTGTAATGCCAAAGTATGCGTCAGGTGGGAATTAAAGTTGGTATTTCAGCTTTCCTGCATTCTGTAATACTAAAGGTGAATACTTTCCCTTAATACTGCTCTGACAATAGACATTCTGTTATACTATAATATCATAACTTTCTGTAACTAAGGGTGATAATTATCTAAAATAAGTTTGTTCTGTGAGGAATTAGGTTTTCCTTGGTCCAATTTGTACATTTTGTGTTGAAATACTTTATACACCGTAAAATCCAAATCAACATGTAATTTGGACATAGGATGTTTAATTTTGTTATAACAAACTTCATATAAAGTTAGTTATTGTACTTTATCCAGATAAAGTTTATGATGTCAATGTGGAAAGTCCCAATATTCTCTTTCATTTCATGTCACCTGAAAATAATTTCATTATAGAAAAAAAAAATTTCACTATATAAAAAATAAGATAATAAATTGCCTTCTATAGAATAGGAATAATAATAGCTGTCATATGTTGCGGTTCAGATTGGAGGGACCCCTAACAAGGCTTGCCATTGATTGTTTTGCACAACTACTTAAAAAAACTTAGCCTGCTGGGATCAACTGATTTTACCAATACAACAAGTGTAGACCAAAATCTGCCGGCATATCTGTGCATTCTGATATGTAAATCGAAAAAAGTCCATTATGTGTATGTCGTATATGTTTAATGAGTGTCCATCTACCCGGTAAGGCACAAAAAGCAGCTTTTGCTGTCAAGTACGAACCCTGGACATGTCAACAGTTATGCCCATAAAGGTTAAATTTTGAAGCTTAAAGAGGTGATTATTTACCTCCATGCAATTTCCCAATGTATTAGCCAAAAACATGAATTTTGAGCCAAAAGTAAGTCGACGAGAACCTAAATGTACAGTAACCTGAGAATAATAAAAGGAGGTAGCCCTTATAAGGGCTGTTGGTGCCAAGCAAAGGGCCTGCCTTACAATCCGTCTATCTGTGCTAGGGGCTCATGCACTCCGTCCTTGTCATCTCTGCCTACATCATAGGGCCACTATCTTTGCATTAGTCAAGACACCGGCAGCTGGTCCGCAGTTCAAGTTTTGGACTTTGTTTATTAATCGCCATCCCAAGTTCTCCCAATTTTCTGCCGATGCCCTGTCCCTACTCTGACAGCGATGTGCACGCTCCGAAAGGAAGCAAGAAGAAAGTCCATCACATATATAAGAAAATCATATTATACAGTGGTCTTTAATATAATTTTAACAATTTTGTATTCCAGCTGTACGGGCAGAAGATGACGCAGCTAAGGTTACAGATGACATCGGCAAAAGTCGTGATGGTTCAAGAACAGACGATGAAGTTGTACAAAGGTAAGAAGAAGTGACGAATGATCAGGCTTGGAACAATCAATTTACTGTATTTTATTTATTTTCCCACATATTCTCAGATTCTGTCTGGAGGGAACTGCAATTAACTTTTAATTGTTAAATTTGTTTACCTGTCTTGTCAGATGTAGTTAAATAGGTAGATTGAAAAGATAAACATAAGCTATAAGAATATGGTTCTCTTCAGCTTGATGGTTTCAGTCTAAAATGTATTCTTTTTCACACTTTGATCTTGGTAATATTTTGACTAAGATTGCGTGAAGCAGATGGCATGGAAATAAATAGGTCAACTCTTGTACAGAATCCAGAAACAACAGTATGGATGATGGTTTGATATGAGTGTAATTGTAATGAGTGCGTACTTGGATGGTAATCTAATAAACCCAAGAAACCATAGTTTAGAAAGTATCTTTACTGGATTGTCTTTTGCTACTGGAAAGGTTTCAAATTGTAAAAATAATAAATTTTCAATATTAACAGTATATTTTGTTGACAATGATGGCTACTTACAAGAAATTAAAGTTGGTGAGTTGATTTTTCAGACAGTTTGGTGTGTATTGTTTTAAAATTGTGTGAGGTTTATGACAGAATAATGAGGTTTTTGTAATGAAAGTTAAAATTGATAGAAATGGGATTTTCAAGTATTTGTTTCCTATGTTTCTGACATTTGTGAGTCAAATCTTGATATATATCTTATCTCACCTGTTAAAAACATCTACATTTTCTAACAATTTATTGCCTCTTTATGCTAAATTGCACTCTAAAACACATTTGTTTCCCTTCTTGTAATAGAGGTAACTCTATAAACTATAGTGTGTATGCAAATTTATTTTGTAACATATGAAGTCTTTAGAACTAAGAAGGGTTAGATTAAAGCAGGATTTAAAGCTCTATTGTGGTTGTTCAATTCTTATTTTGTTACATTTCTATCCAGAAAACTTCTGTTGGGGGTTGGTTGTTGTACTTTCTGCTGCTGAAACAATTACTGCACAGTTATTGGTGTACCCAGGTGCTTTTCTTCACTAAAATAGTTTGGTCACCATATGATATACCATACCTCATTAAAAAAAATCGTCCAAGTTCAGTTCAGGTAGTATTCCTTGGACATTGAAAATTGAGGTTGACAAATAGGAATTGAATGCAAATACAGAAAAAATACTCTTATTTATGTCATAATTTGTTGACAGTAATACACATGTTTTGGCATATTACTAATTATAAAAAAAAAAATGAGAAAAAATTCATTGAAACAGAATAAATAATACATATATCATATCATATTGCAGGAAAAGTGATATGTACCTCACAAAAGGCAAAAGAATTGGCAATTTGATATTTCTATTTCTAATGGGAATATCGCTAATTGATTGATACCAGTCTGCATGATCTGCTAATTACTGCCACATGTTAAATAGTAGTGGTACAAGACTTGTCTAAAGTTATTATTGTTTCCCTGAGACAACCTAAATACATGATCCAACATGCAGGTCTGTCTGGTCAGGCTTGTAGAACTTATATTCCAATTCAGTGGTTACTGCTGAAAATAAAGGAATCAAGGAATGGTCTGGTGATTCTGATTGGAGTTACTTAGCTTATGTCATATTTTATTATTTTACCCTGGCCAGTTCAAATCTTATGGCATGGTTTTTGATTTCTTCTCTATAAAAAGTCTGAAAGTTTGCTTTCGCTTTCATTTAAAAGAAGAATATAATCGCTTATCATTATACTTTAAAATGATGAATTGCAATTCTAAAATGAACTTAAATTTGCTATGTTTGCAGAAATAAATGAGGGCCTGTCACAGATAGGCAAACAAGTAAATGTTTTCTTCAAGAGCTATAATTTGTACTTGACATTGACATTGTGTCTTACAATAATTTGTTCATGGCTACCGGTAATCTTTTATGTTGTAAACATCACAAGTTTTAGAACTGTTCTACTTACAAGGTCAGTTACCTATATCGCAAAGTACTACGCATAATTATTAAGCATAAAAAATGAGTTCTAAACCAGTCAGCGGACATTATTTTGCTCTGCAAGTGAAAAAGAAAATCTGGGAGGAATATTAACTTTGTTAAATACAATAGACATCATGTTACTAGGGATGATTACGTCATGATCAATTAATTACTTTTTTTTTTTACCTGTGGTGTAGGTATTCTAAATAGCTTTACTAATCATGGCTTAATAGACCACATAAATGTGCTGTACAAAGATTCTGAAAATCTGGCATAAACATATTTTTGATCTAAATTATAATAACTCTTGTCTTGAAGATTGGTTCCCCCATTTTTTTGTATTATGTGTCACTGTAGTTAATGGTTCCCCTACAAGTGCAATAGTGAATGCATAAATGCGTATTTACAGCATGTTTGTGATCAGAGAACTTGGTAGAGCTATTATCTATCTATGATCAAGCATATTTTCTTTTCTATTATCTTGGCACTTTAAAACATCATCTTGTAAATCGTAACTTTGTTCAGAGCTATAGAATGTTAAGATCTTGTAATGCTATGAATCAATTGATTGGATACCTATGTAGTTAAAAGTATAAAGTGATTGAAGGTATTGTTAAATGTTTGTAAAGTTTAGTTCAGGTGTTCAGATTGAGAGCATTTTTTGTTGTTCAGTAAAGGTGGTCATAAAATCAGTGATTTAGAGCCTTGTTGTTCAGTTCAGGTGGTCACAAAATCTAAGATTGGAAGGATGTTATGTAGTTTTGGGTCAGAAATAAGTATTTTCACAGAATCAGATATATATCCCTACTTAATTTAAGATACATACATGGATTCTGTAACAGATTCTGGCTATTTCCTATAGCCAAAGTTTTTTTATTCATTTTACAGAAATATCTTGCTTTCAGATTTGTGATATTATAACAGATTCTGGAAGTAAGATATGCACAAACATGATATTTTATATACAAAAAGCCTACCTGTTTGGCTGTGTGTTACCTGTCAGGGAAGTAGGTGTAAGATAGACAGCAAACAGACTGTATGATGTACAATACAAGTACCCTCTTTACATGTGTTTATTTTGTTTATGTGGCTACTGTAAACAACTCCATTGTCTTGTTTTTATTTGTAGTGTAGAAATTATATGGAGTTTGATGTTTTAAGATTAAGCATTTACTGATTGATATGACAGAAAAAAAGTCTTGTGCTTTACATCATTCAAAGATAAAATGTAAGGTATGTAAGGTAAATTAAGTATTTTGAAAAATGGAAAATCTTTTTAGGTCTCCTTTATTCATCAATAATTTGGGACGAGAATGTTTTATCCTGGCTGCCCATAAATAATTTATACCACATTCACAAAAATTAGGGGGACGGGCCATCAAAATACTTTGTTGCATCCATCGGTAGATCAGTCTGTTTCCGCTGTGTCTGATTTATAAATCTGATACCTTTTGAAGGATTTTATTAAACATGGTCCAAATGTTCACCTCAACAAGCTGATGTGCTGAACACCATTTTGTTACTATGCTGGGTCAAGATCAAGGTCACCATTGCAGGTCAAATGTCAAACAATTTGTTTAAATAACCTTTTTTAGATGTTTACTTGCAGAACCAGTGTTGCTGCTATATAGGTTCAAGGTCAAGGTCATCCTTGAAGGTCAAATGTGAGACACTTCAAAATTAATGATAAAAGGGCTAACTTGAAACCCTGTACAGTCTTAAAGATATGGGGATATTTGTCATTCCTGTGACATTGTGACAGTTTTTTGTTCATAAGCTAGAGCCTTTATACTTGCACACAGCATACCACTGGACAAGAGCAACATTGTCACCTTGACCTTTAAGTAACCTTGAATCCTGAATAACATTGACTACTGCACAGCAGGCTTTCTGTTAGAAATTAAAATACTTTCCTTGTAATATATTAAACTATGTTTAGATAATCATGGCAACTGTAAAATCAATTGTTCTGGATTAACACTGTAGTACCTTGGATAGAAATAGTAAGGTATACATAACCAAAGAAAATGTTCTGCTCAATGTTTTTTCTAGTTACCTATGTCACTTATTGGTGCCAAGATTACTTCTATGTTGAATGACTGGTATTCTTAGGGAGGCAGTCATGGATTATACATTTTGAGCATTAATATCTTAAATTACAATCACATTGCAAAACATTGAGAAATCATTATGTTGATTTACATTCTATTGATCTTCAGTATTTAGTCTAAATCCTTAATTAGCATAACCCATAACCTGTAAAAGTTTGAAGCTGTCCATTATTAAATTAGAGATATCTAGATGAAAATATGAAGTTAATAAGCAAACAGTGTTAAAAGAGCCAGGTCATACTGCAATAATATCCCGGCTGCCAAACTTCATATTAGTTGTGGCAAAGGCTTATAGCTTTTGGGTCCACTAGGGGTAAAGGTTGCAGACAAATTGGTCTCATAATCAAGCATATTTATCTGGAACAGTACAACACTGGACATAAAGATCTTAACTGCATTAAACCATTTTAACCAAAATGTACCTTAGAAAAAATGTTGCATAACCCTTTTCATAAAATAGCAGTCCTGTAGCATGCAACAGACTAACTCAGGAATAAAGACTATTTGGGTTTTTCCCAGCTGATCCGTAGGTTCAAACAAACTTATACAGTTACAGCTTCAAAAATGAGCGCAACAGCTTGACTAATCTATTGTGACGGGTAGTGCACCTTGAAGCTAAAACGGTAAAAAGTTTGTTTGTACAGATTAGCTGGGAAAAACCCACATAACATCTTTTGTAACCTTGTTCCCCAGTGAATCCCCACTCCCACAGGAGGGATTTTGGCATTGCTGAAGGCCCACTAAATACCATTGCACTGTTGAAATTGAACCCTGTTGATTATTTGCACCAGAATTAAACCATTGAATTAAACACACAGAGGAAAAATACATTGTACATGTATTTTGGAAAAATGATTATGCTGTTCATTTGTGACTCATCATTTACCTGTATAATACTACTTATTATTAGAAGTGA